ATGAAAGCATATGTCCACGTGAATTTGTGTGTGACTGTTCATAGCAACATTATTTATAGTAGTCGAAAACTGGGAACAGCCCAAAATGTCCATTAACTGAATGGATAAACAAATTGTGTTATCTCGTTACAATGGAATACTACATAGGAATAAAAGAACTAATTGTGATACATATAACGACGTGAATGAATCTCAGAAGTATTATGCTAAGAGGCCAGACACAAACTACATGATGTTTGATTCCATTTATATGAAAACTGTAGTGGCAGAAAGCATAGATCAGTGGGCTGGGGCCAAGGGTTAGGGAGGGTTGGCAAAAGGACATGAAGGAGTATTTTGGATTGATTATAGTAGTTGTTACATTAGTGTATATAATTACCATAACTCACCAAACTTTACATTTAAATGGAGTGAATTTTATTTTATGTAAATTATACCTCAATAAAGTTGGTGGGGGAATGAGACTTGAGAAACTCCTCAACTTGCTTATTTAAACTTTTTTTAAATAAAAAAGTTATTTGTATTCATTTTCAAGGGAATATATTTGGGGAAATACAGGTGCTCTAGGATGTGTAATGCAGGAAGAATTCCTCTCTCCTTTCTGTGTCATGATTGAACCCTAGTCCTCTAGAGTTGTTAGAATTCCTTTTGTTACTAGAGTTGCTGTCTTTTGGGTATGAAGCCAAAGGGAGTTTTATCATTTACTTTTATCTTAAATTCTAGATTTTGATCTCTCTTTTCCATTATAGGCACAGTCACTATACTTGTTAATTTGGCCTAATGATATAATATGGATAATCATATTTTCTTCTCTAATTTTTATCCCACAGAATTCAACCTTAATATTTTGCTGCATTTTATAAACTTATCTTCTATACATTGGTCTTTACTTTAAAAAACTGGGGAGAAAAAGTGAAAAAGAATTTAGAGAAAAATAAGAAAAAGGGATTGGAAAAACCTGTGTTTAATTAGACTGAAGTTTTAGACCAGTAAATTTATTTTCAGAAGTACTGATAGTGTCTCTGGTTTCTGCTTAATTTGTGCATTCTTCATTTGGTAGTCCTCTCTTTCATTCTCTACCATCCTGCTCTCATTACTGCAGTTTCTTCATTCAAGAATGAAGGTAAAGGGAATTTTAATCTCTTCCTTAAAAAGATTCTCCTTAAATATGCTTTGAATCTTTGGTGGAAAGATAGTATGATCAATATTCTTAGTATTTTATCACTTTTAAGATACACTTTAATGAGTTCATAATAGTTTACATCAATGTAAGATTTCAGTTGTATGTTATTTCTTGACTATCACCACATAAGTGCTCCCTTTCACCCCCTTTGCCCACCCCCCACCCCCTGGTAACCACTGAACTGTTCTCTTTGTCCATGTGTTTGTTCATATTCCATGTATGTGTGAAATTATCTGGTGTTTGTCTTTCTCAGTCTGGCTTATTTTGCTTAGCATAATTCCCTCTCGGTCCTTCCATGCTGTTGCAAATGGGATGATTTTTGTCTTTTTTATGGCTGAGTAGTATTCCATTGTGTATATATACCACATCTTCTTTATCCAATCATCAGTCGATGAACACTTGGATTGTTTCCATCTCTTGGCTATTGTGAATAGTGCTGCAGCAAACATAGGGGTGCATATGTTACTTTGGATTGTTGATTTCAAGTTGTTTGGGTAGATGGCCAGTAGTGGGATAGCTGGGTCTATGGTACTTTTATTTTTAGTTTTTTGAGGAATCTCCATGCTGTTTTCCATAGTGGCTGCACCAGTTTGCATTCCCACCAGCGGTGAAGATACACATTTTTTCACATTTAAACATCTCTGAAATTGGGCTGCATCTAGCAATATACCACCTAGAATTGAGTTCTTCAGAGGATTTCATTTCTTTCAGTCACCTGGGGGCAATATTAACCATCCTAGTAGTGTAAATTCAGACCACAAGCCTACATGACTTACTAGTTCAGATTCTCAGGGGGAGGTTCCCCGTCTCTGACGCAGTGTCAGGACTGAGATGTATACCTTTCTTTGTGTGCTCCTTCTTCGTTGCAGGTTTATTTCTCCTTTTCCCTTGTATTACAGGTAAAGGCCTTTGATATCCTAGCTTTATGAGGCTCTGACTTTTCTCAGGCATTTTTCTCCCCTTTCTTAGTGGCATATAATATTGGTGAGTTTTACAAGTGATGGCATCTTAAATTTTAATCATCTTTAATTTTGTTTTCACGCATGCATCCATATTCACTTCTTATCACTGGAACTTTTTTATATTGAGTATTTGAGTGAGAAAATGAATATTATAATTAATTCATGTTTTATTTTAGGAATGATAATATGCATGTTGTTCAGACTTTTAAATCACAGGCTGCTGTTCTCCTGGCACAATCCGATAAACAATGTATCCCTCCTGAGGATGTTCCTTAGGAAAAATATTGAGACAAATTAGCAAGAAGTTACTGGCTGGAATTTTTTTTTTTTCCTTTTTCTCCCCAAAGCCCCCTGGTACATAGTTGTATATTCTTCATTGTGGGTCCGTCTAGTTGTGGCATGTGCGACGCTGCCTCATCATGGTTTGATGAGCAGTGCCATGCCCATGCCCAGGATTCGAACCAACGAAACCCTGGGCCGCCTGCAGCAGAGTGCGCGAACTTAACCACTTGGTCACAGGGCCAGCCCCTACTGGCTGGAATTTATGAAAACAAAAACTAATGCTACTAAATGACTTTAGCTTTTATAATCTAGTCCAAAATTTCTTATCGTGTCTGTATATCCATCGTATTTGAACTTTCAATTTTTAAGAATCCATTTCATAAATTAGAATGTTCTTACTCATATTTTGTTTTTTAGATCCCTAAGCATACTTTTTACTGAAGGGTGGGGACATAAAGGGAGACTGAGGTCCTACCATTACATTTTTTAAATAATAGCTTTATTGAGATGTAGTTCATGTACCATTCAATTCACCCTTTTAAAGTGTACAGTTCAGTGGTTTTAGGATAGTCACAGAGTTATAGACCCATCACCACTATCTAATTTTAGAACATTTTCATTACCCCCAAAAGAAACCCTGTACTCATTAGCAGAAACTCATCCTTCCTGCCTCCCACAGCCTCTGGCAACCACTAACTTCTGTTAAGTTTTTAGTTTAATTTTTAGTTCAGTTAAATATTGTGTCTGCTCTTTACAAGGGCCCTGTGCTTAGTGTTGGGAAAGCAGTAAATTCTGGTCTCAAAGTTTATAATCTAGTAAAGAGTAAGAGAACTAACCACATAGTTTATGTATGTGACAAAATATAGTAAGTGCCAAAATAAAGGATTTTGAATATTTAAACCTCTCACATGGATCACAACTTTATAGAGTTTTAGTTGTTGGTGAAATCTCTTTCATTAAGTAGAAAAGTAATCTGAAGGGCCGACCCAGTGGCATAGTGGTTAAGTTCGTGTACTCCACTTTGGCGGCGCAGAATTTGCTGGTCTGGGTCCTGGGTGCGGACCTAGCACTGCTCATCAAGCCATGCTGAGGTGGCGTCCCACAGAGCACAACCAGAGCGACCTACAACTAGGATGTACAACTATTTACTGGGAGGCTTTGGGGAGGAAAAAAAAAAAAAGAGGAAGATTGGCAACAGATGTTAGCTCAGGGCCAATCTTCCTTAAAAAAAGAAAAGAAAAAGGAAAGCAATCTGAGACTCAGAGGCATCACTGTCACATAGTTCTGTGGCATAGCGAGAATAGTTTCTTGAAGAAATCACTTTGAGATTGCTGGGCCTTGAAAAATAAGATAGAGATAACTGAAGAGGACATTTCAGATGTAGGGAACAGCATAAACAAAGCCTCGGGACACTTTTAGGAAATAGCAAGTAGTTCATTTTGATTATTAGAGCAAAAGGTGCATGATGTGGAGCAACATGAGATAAAACTGATTTTCGAAAGATGATAAAGGGCTTTGAACTCCTTCAAGATACAAAAATTGGTAATTTATTAGTTTGGGTAGATAATGAGGAAGGTCTAAAGGTTAGTAAGTAGGAGAGGAACATGATTGGAGCTGGGCTTTAGGACAGTGGTTCTCAAATTATCTATGATGGAAGACCAGTTTTTTAAAAAAATTCCAATCTGTTTCAAATTGATACACTTATATAGTAAAAATTAATTATTAGAAAAGTGAAGAGACATAAAACGTAAGTCTACATTTCTTATTACTTTCAAGAGACATAAAATTTCTCTGTCAAATTGCTAAAAATGTTTCTGAACACTCACAGTTTCTGTACGTATCATGTAATGGACTCATAACTGTTTGCAGACCAGCATTGGTCTGTGGACCACACTTGGAGTAGCGCTCCTGCACAGCGATTAATTTGGCGTTAGTGTGCAGGCAGAGCAGTTGTGAAATGATTGCTGCAGAGTTCCTGAGGACCTGGACAGGCTGTGAGCAGTATGAACTGAATGGAAGATCTGCGTTCCACAGACATTTGGAGACTTAAATGCAGGCGAGTGAGATGATTGTGAGATGATACGGATTTGATGGAGAGGAAAGAATCAGAAGATACTGACTAGATTTTAGACTTGAGTGAGAAAATGAGAGTGCCAATAGCAGGAATACAAACTAGTTTGGGGAGAGAGCTACTAAGTTAGGTTTTCAATAAAAATCCACATTTTGGCATTTTTCTATTAGGTAAAAACACACAGAGAGAAATCATTTGGTTCATAATCTAAATTTGCAGTTTCAAAAAAGGACTTGTAACTTTTGCTTTTCTTTGGTTGTCACAGAATTTGAGTATGTAATTACACAAACCCTTAAGCAAAACATACTCAAGAAGATTTTCTGCTTGTATCCTTAGTCTCATTTGTTGTTGCAGTAACTGTTGTTGGGCGCATGGCCAGGAAACTGTGACTCCTACAAGGGGAGGAGCTAGGGATAAAGTTCACTATTGCCAAAGAAATGCTATTCCCAGTGGATTTGTGTGGAGCAACAGTGATATCCAATGACAAGTTAAATTAGACACAGAGGTGTTTTCTCCAAAGCCGTCTCAGAGGATGCGTACTGTTGAGGGGCCTGGTTCAGACTAAAACAGTCTTTTTGAAGTTAGGTTAAAGTCACACACAAAAAATTGTACTAGGGACTTGAAGAAGAATTTTGTTATGTGACTTGAAGAACTGGTTGACTGATAGTTTCACACTTTGCAGAACGGCAACCAGTGACAGATGAGGTAACGCTGCTTTGAATTATGAGTGAAATCTTAAAATCAAGAGTTTGTTATTTACGAAATTCCAAATTTAGGAAATTGCATGTTCGTGTTCCTTAAGTGTGAGAATCTTCGGTCCCTGTTCTTAAAGTACGTAATATTGATAGTCTTATTTCTTATGTTTAATATCTATATTTATTTGGATAGAATTTCTTCAAATTTCATGCCTTACTGCAATGGAATATGATAGTAAAAGCTGTTACATTTGTCTTTATGTTGAAGTCTGTGCCTGGTTTTATAGTGTTTCTGTGTCTGTCTCCTAAAGGTTGTTTCTCTTGTTAATGCTCAAATCTGTATCTTGCAAATGACTTAGTATTTAGGAATTTCTGGCTGATAGTTGCATTCTAAGGTTGGATGCTTAGTTCGGTCATCCTTTCTGGGGTGGCAGCTTTGTGCTTTATTTAAAAACAAGCTTTGGAAAGTTTCACAGATATTTTCGAACTCTTGCGCGTAGATCTGGAGTATGTTCCAGTGGTTAATAATTTAGAAAAGTGACATAAGTAAACTGGCATTGGCAAAAATAGAATCAAGGTCCTGGGACCAATAGAAATTTTTGGATTCCCCAAGCAGATAAGATCTTTTTGTTTTAAATGTGTGGTGGGACAGTGAGCCAGTCTTTTAGTTGATAGAGTACCTAACTCTTTTGTTATAGCAGTAAAGAATGGTTGTTAGTTTGAGGCCAAGAGATTAGTTTCTCTTGAAGACTGTATCCTGGAGACGTGGTATTTCTGGCTCAAGTCTGCATCTCTGCTGAAGTCTGTGCATACTTTCAGCATTTGGATGTTTATTATCTTTGTAAATCTTAGCATATATGTTATTACAGTTCTCTATAATGCAGCTGTTCCATTTTGTCATTATAGCTTAGCTTATACACTTTAGATATTTGCACACGAATTAGATTTTATTCCCTATTGCCCCCTCCTCCCATGTTTTATAGCATAAATTAGAGAAAGAGAAAGAGAGATGAGAGTATATGTGACGTTTTTCTTTTTGTCATAATAGGAATGAATTAGAAGGGGAGGAAGGCGTGATTATTTCTTTTTTAAGTTCAGGGTTTGCTTCTGTGGGTGAGGGTATTCATTTTGATTGAAAATGAAAAGATAAAAGATATTTGGTGGAAGATCTTCGTAGGAAAACATTCTTATTTCCTAATTTTAGGCATCTAGAAAGTCTTTCCTAGCTCTGGCTACTTCCTGAAGGACAGCTTCTAGGATATGTGTCACAAAATGGTACATGCTTTGTAGCAGGCATTCAACAAATGAGTTGATTGAATAAAGTGACTAATTAAAGAAGAAAGAGTGCAATTTGCATATTTATTAGTGATTATTTTGGCAAAAACAATAGATTTCATATTTCTGATATATGTCATCCCTAGGGTTGTATGGATAATACCTAAGGTGCATTGTGATCTGTGTATCTTTAAAAAATGTATGATAAGGAGGACAGGCTTAATCTCTCTTCAGGCTAAAAGAGAATCTGATAAACTGTCTTGCTGGGTTTGTTGATAGTTTCTTTCTACCTTTAGCACTGATTGATATTAGCAAAGTCTCTTTTTCCCCGTGATTTTAGTTCTGCCTGAAACCAGCTTGCATCATTTTTCTGTCAGAATCAAAGTTGTTTCTTTCATTATGTGGTTCCTTATTATATCTCTCCTGGATTGTACCACAAGGAAGAAGACTCTTCCCAGGCCATTCCTGCCTGAATTCCTGTAGCATATTTTAGGCATGTCAGCTGTTTGGGCTCTGATCAAGGATTTGATCCAGTTGGCCCCCTAGCTTGAATTGAGAGTGTGTTTGAAAAGCCTAAGCTTCAGTAGTAACATTTAGTTTCCAGAGTTAGAACCATTGCTTTGTGTCTTTTCCTCATCTTGTGCTTCAAAAGGATTTATGTAACTGGGAAAAGACGATAATAAAGTAGACGTTCTTATCAGTAAAAGCAAGGTTAAGTTTGATAAAGTGGTAGAAGGGTCATGGTGATATATTTTGTGTTGCGGGTGTTTCAAAAAAGATTTGAGGGGCTTGCCCTGTGGCTGAGTGGTTAAGTTCGCACGCTCCGCTGCAGGCAGCCCAGTGTTTTCATTGGTTCGAATCCTGGGTGCGGACATGGCACTGCTCATCAAACCACGCTGAGGCAGCGTCCCACATGCCACAACTAGAAGGACCCACAACGAAGAATATACAACTATGTACTGGGGTGGGGGGCTTTGGGGAGAAAAAGGAAAAAAAAAATCTTTAAAAAAAAAAAAAGATTTGGGTGGATGCCTGGATTGCCTTTCTTGCTTTGTCTTACTGGAAAACTTCTATTGTCTAAGATTCAGCTCATACATCTCTTCTGGTCTCCAGACAGCTGGTGCTTTCTCCTCCATGTTAGTTTATAGCATTTACTCAATTGCTATAATTATTTGCTTGTAAATCTCTCTCCTGCTAGGCTGAATTCCTCAAGAATAGAGATTGTAAGTTAAAATATAAGTTCCATGAGAGCAGGTACTCTTTTGTTCACTGCCGTATTGCAGTACCTGGCATATAGTAGATGCTCAGTAAGTATTTGTTGAATGAATCTATTTATCTTTATATCTTTAGTGTCTGGCATATGGTAGGATTTAAATGAAACTCTCTTTATTAAATAAATTACAAACGAACGAGTGAATGAATTGTAAAATCTCAGAAATAGCTTATTTTATGGGGTCAGACATAGAAAAGGAGAGCTGATGCTTTGAAAGCATGAGTGTATGGCATTGTTAATGCCAAGACGATAAAAAGTGCACGTTTTCGTATAATATCTGATTTCACTTATTGTATAAGAAGGACTTACGTAATTTTTATTGTGAATCTTAATATTGGTATTTAGATGAGAAGATCTAGAAAGATAGCCAAATAATTCCATTAAACTTAAGAATTTTTTTCAGTATTAATTGAGATATCATCTCTTACTCCTTTCTTTAGGGTGTTTGTGAACCGAAGTTTAGCCATGGAAAAAATAAAGTGTTTTGGTTTTGATATGGATTATACACTTGCTGGTGAGTAGCACTTTCTGTCTGCTTAAGAACTACTGCTTTGGATGTAACAGTGGCTCCACAGGAGACAATTCAATAAACACTTGTTGATTTAATCATATATTTAGCTGCCAGAAGCTCTTGTTATCAAGCTGCTTCCATAGAGATTTGAGAATATTGAAATTACCAGACATTCTTGAGATTTAGATTGTACAGATAGGCAGAACAGTGCTAAATTATTTTAGAGACCCTGTTAAGAAATGCTATGGTGAAATTATATTTTACTGTGTATATTTGGGCCCTTTTGGCTTTTACTCCCTTAAGCTGTTCTTCAAGGGTAGAATTTTGGATCTCTTACTCTACCACAGGGTAAACTTTTATCAGTTAAAAATTTTAATGTTATTCTTAACACAAATGGAAAATGTGTTCGTTTTCCATTGGAACAATTGCACACATCCTATGTAAAGACTTTTTAAAAACTAGAGCTGTTAGCTTCGTTCATTATAAAATAGACCCCAAACACCATCACTGTGCTGTTTTTCGCCTCCTGTTTCTGAAACACATTTGACATAATCAATGTATAGTCAATAACTGCAACATTTTCAGAACTTAGGAGGTTTTTATTAAAATATTTGCAGTCTGGTGAAAATGTCATTTAATTTAAGAAATAGTAGGGATGAAGGACTGAGTTGAACACGTGCATATATATAAGTGCATGCACGTGTGTACAGCTATGACACTCAAGAATCTTTCAGAAATTTTCTGTAAAAAATACCGTCTTTAAGGACACAAAAAACCTTAAAAATGTATAAATTCACTTATATTCAGAAACCTTTTTGTAACAGTATTAGAAAACTGGCTTCCTTTTCAAATTAGACAAATCTCAGTTTGGTATTCACTTTAGGCTACAAATATAAATGGATAATATAAATGTACAAAAGTGAGCACATGCTGTTTAAAAGTTAGTGGCACGTAGATGTGGCCATGATATTTACCAAACAAGTTATATATTAAAAATAGACACTGACTTGATTTGAATTTCTCTTTCTTCCCTCCATACTCTATTTATTAAGTTTTTTATTGCCTTAAAGTTATTTTTCCTGCATTTTGATTCTTTCATATTTTCCTAATTGGACACAGAGACTTTTAGGAGCACTTCTCAGAAGGCAGGTGGAAGCACTGTACTTTCTTAGTATAGATCGTGCTGTCCAGATTGGGAGAAAATCTTTCTCCTTTCTAGAATTCTAGATCTCCAGGGAAAGCAATGATGAGATAGTTCAGCAGCTGAAAGAGATATAATCTAAAGCAGAAATAGAAGTTAATGAGATCAAAAAATGACGAACTTTTTCCCTTTGGTTATTAAGACAATCTCATTGTATTGAAGTAGTATCAATAAGTATCCATACTTTCAATAAGTATTTATTGAAAACCTGTAATGTGCCTGGCACATATTGTTACTGAGCATTGAGAGAGAACTCACAGAATAAAGAAAAAATGAATTCTCGTTTAGTGAAAAAGTCACTGAATCTTAGTCTCTAAACTTTAGAGATACCTTATGGTTTCTTCTTTTTATTTGTTTTTTTGTAACCTCACTTCATATTTTAATGCTTACTCTTAGTCTAGACACTAATATACTTTGGTTATGTGTAAGTATAATAGTAATTATTAACATTTATTAAGTGCTTATTATATGCCAAGCCCCGGTCTGAGTTTTACCTACATGGATTACATGTAATACATGGATTATCTCATTCACACCACTTAATATATGCAAAAACTCTAGGGGCCGGCCTGGTGGTATAATGGTTAAGTTCACGTGCTCTGCTTTGGCAGCTCCAGTTCATGGATTTGGATCCCAGGCGTGGACCTACACCATTCATCAAGTCATGCTGTCCCACATACAATATAGAGGAAGGTGGACACAGATGTTGGCTCAGGGCCAATCTTCCTCACTAAAACAAACAAACAAACAAAACCTCTATGAGGCAGATACTACTATTAGTGTCTTCATTTTACAGATGACACTAAGATGTTAAGGACTTTGTCCAGGGACATTTAGCTATAATCAAGCTGAACTAAGACTCAAACCTAGGCATACCTGTATATATATGTGCATAGTAAGTTTCAATTATCATTTTGAATAATGAAAATTTATAGTGAGGTATAATTTCAAAGTGATAAGTTTCCCCCCCCCTTAAACAGAACTTAAGCACTCAAAAGAGCAAAGCCATTTAAAGTAGTCCCCTTGAGAGACTAGACATTCCAACAATTCTGTGTTGAATGAAAAACATTGTTACCCTTCTTGTGGTATTGCCTTCCCTCGGGTAGGAAAGCTACTTTATATTTATACTCTGACCTGTTTTCCAGAATGATATTTATTAAATTGATCTGTGACTAACTTTTGGTTACTTAAAAAACAAACAAACCATACCCTTGAAGTGCTAAGGAATTTTCATCAGAAAAATGTGCCATGAAATACAGACACAAGACTAAATGTTTTATGAAAACTTTGAGTATTTGGGATAAATATCCCTGGAATAAGCATAATAGCCTCACAGGGGAAGTTCTTGAAAAGTGTCTACATTCTTTCTGAAGCCTTCTCTGAGACATTGTCTTCTTGCTGCAACCCTGACACCTTGGTACATCATTCTCTCAGAGCAATTTATATTGTCAATTGCAGCTCTTTTTTTCTTTTTTTTCGGTGAGGCAGATTGTCCCTGAGCTAACGTCTGTGCCAGTCTTCCTCCATTTTGTATGCGGGCTGCTGCTGCAGCATGGCTTGATGAGTGGTGTATAGGTCCACACCCGGGATCTGAACCCAGGAACCCTAGTCTGCTGAAGTGGAGCTTGTGAACTTAACCACTGCTCCACCAGGCTGGCCCCAGTTGCAGCTTTTGTTTACTTGCCAGTCGCCCCATTGCCCTGCAAGTTCCTCAAGGACACGGGCTTTTTTTATTTTTACACATTTATATGCTATGTGTTGCTTAAAGCCTGGCTTATAGTAGGTGCCCAGAAAATATTTATTGAATGAACAATTTGGGTGCATAAGTTTTAATGTATCAGTTTAAGAATCAATCATGGTACTTGACCCAGTAAATACACTAATTATTCAAGTGAATTACTTTTAAAGATGCACTTATTCTTAAAATTTTAATAAACTTTATTCAGGAATAAGTTGCATACAATAAAACACGTGCATTTTAAGTATATAGATTGAGTTTGACAGAATGTATGCACCTGTGTAGCCACCACCACAATCACGATATAGAATATTTCCCTCATTCCAGAAAGTTCCTCATTGCCTCTTTGAAGTCACTTCTCTCTCCTACCCCACCCTTTGCCCCAGGGCTTTTTGTCAATATAGATTAATTTTGCCTCTTCTAGAATTTCTTAAAATGGAATCATACAGAATGTACTCTTGTGTCTGGCTTCTTTTTTTTTTTAAGTTTTTATTTTATTTTATTTTTTTAAAGATTGGCACCTGAGCTAACAACTGTTGCCAGTCTTTTTTTTTCCCTTCTCCTTCTTCTCCCCAAAGCTCCCCAGTACATAGCAGTATATTCTAGTTGTAGGTCCCTCTGGTTGTGCTATATGGGACGCCACCTCAACATGACCTTATGAGCAGTGCCATGTCTGCGCCCAGGATCTGAACTGGCAAAACCCTGGGCTGCTGATGCGAAGCACGCGAACTTAACCACTCGGTCATGGGGCTGGCCCCTTAAATTTTTATTTTCTTAATTTTTAATTTTTTTAAAGATTTTGTTTTTTCCTTTTTCTCTCCAGAGCCCCCTGGTACATAGTTGCATATTTTTAGTTGTGGGTCCTTCTAGTTGTGGCATGTGGGACGCCGCCTCAGCATGGTCTGATGAGCAGTGCCATGTCCATGCCCAGGATTCAAACCGGCAAAACCCTGGGCCACCAAAGCGGAACGTGCAAACTTAACCACTCGGCCATGGGGCCGGCCCCTTAAGTTCTTATTTTGAAATAATTTTAGACCTATGGAAGAGCTGCAAAATTAATAGTTTGCCTTTACTCTCTCCTAATGGTAATATCTTACTTGATCATAGTACAATTACAGAAACTAAGAAATTAGCATTTAGTATAGTACTATTAATTAAACTGCAGACTGTGTTTAGTTTTTACTGGTTTTTTCACTAAAGTTCTTAATTCCAATCCAGGATCAAATTGAGAATCCCACATTGCATTTAGTTGTCATATTTTCTTAGTCTCTTCTGTTATAGTTCCTAAGTCTTTCCTGTCTTTCATTGCTGTGATGCTTTTGAAGAGTACTTGTTAGGTATTTTTGTAGAATGTTCCACAATTTGGGTTTATCTGATATTTTTTCATGAATAGGTGGAAGTATTTTGCATGTTTGGGAAAAATACCACAGAAGTGATGTGCTCTTTTCAGAGCACGATACCAGGGTACATAATGTTGTGAAGTCTTATTAATAGTGATGTTAGCCAGTCAATATTATGAAATTATCCTGTTTCTCTTTAAAATTTCTTTTTGTGGAGGGAGGTGCCAAGTAGTGTTCCATTGTATGTGTATACCACAATTTGTTTATCTATTTATCTTTTGATGGACATTTCGGTAGTTTCTAGTTTGTGGCTATTATGAAGCTACTGTGGTGTATAAGCCTTTTTGTGGATGTATAGTTTTACTTCTGGGTAAATACCTGGGAGTGGAATTACCAGATTATATGTTTACCTTTTAGGAAACTGACAAATGGTTTTTCAGAGTAATGATACCATTTTAAATTCTCACCTAGCAAATATGAGCATTCTAGTTGCTCCACTCCTCACCTATACTTGATTCTTGCAGGTTTTTAGTTAGTCTTGAAGTCAATAGTGTAAGTCCTCTATCTTTATTCTTTTTTGGAATTGTTTTGATTTTCTAGATCCTTCACATTTCTATATAAATTTTAGAATCAGCTTATCAGTTTTTAAAAAGGCCTGCTGGGATTTTGATTAGGATATCTTGATCTCTATATCAACTTGTGGAGAATTGACATTTTAATTACT